TTCTAATTGGCCCTTTCCAAACTGATTCCCACAGTCACTGGGTGGTTCTGTGACAATATTTTCAAATATCTTCCCCTTTGTAATATTCTGATGTCCCTTTCCAGGATTTTTATTTTACTATAATGAAGTTTCTTTTACTTTCTTTTAAGTCCCAAAATCCAATTTCTTAGAAAGACCAAGCACTTTTTAAAGAATCACTGAAATTTTCTCTGTACCATCAGGTGGCGGTCTTGAGTCTTTTCCACAATCCACTCCTTCCTTAACTTTAACTTTCTTTGATAAATATAGTACTTTTATTAAGTTCGCTAATTTCAATCATTAGCTATTATTTCTTTTCTTTTCAACACACTCAATTTCAGCATTTAGTTATGCCCTTTAAGTGCCAATAGTCCAATAGTTGTCCAGTTTAATTTCTAATTTTTCCTTTAAATTTTCTCCTCCAAGTTAATCCAATACAATAATTCAAGCCCATTTTATAAAATCCAATTTCCTTCTCACTTTCTCTGGTTGCTGCTTCCTCCAAAATGGTCCTTTATTTTTTAATACCGGGTTACCTCAAAATCCATGTATTTTGCCTGGTTAACACTCTGCTTGTTGCTTTTCCGTTCCAGCACAGTCTTAGTTTCCCGGACTGTTCTTCATCTTCATGGTGGCCATTTTAAGATTACTGCTGCAGCTTGCCTTTGGGAGGGGTTTTTTCTGTCAGGGAGGGGAGTTGCAGCTCCCCTCAGCCCTCCAGGCAATTCCCCCCTTCTTCACCACCCCTCCAGGGTAGTTCTGGTCCCAAATGGGACCCTCCAGCAAGTGAGCTCGGGGCGAAACCGTGCACAATCGTGGATTCCGCTCTGACAACTGAAAACTGGAAATCTCCTGACTGAATTTTAATCTTAGCATTTCTGTAACATATTTTAAATGTTGTGAGATTTATCCCAACTTCTAATATATGATTAAAAAGTAATGGCCTTTTAAAAATGTATTTTAATTCAAAGTGGTTTGATTATTTTCCATAAACTGTAGTAAATTCTGCCTTTTAGTGTTACCTGTTCCATATGTATGTTGGGGTACGAGCAGGTGGAGGTATTGGAGATGAAATTGAAGACCCTGCAGGAGACCCTTATGAAATATATCGAATTGTTTTTGATATCACGTTTTTCTTCTTTGTCATTGTTATCCTACTGGCCATCATTCAAGGTTTGTTATTGTTAAGTTTCCTGGGATTTGCTAATGCTTGTACTGCAAGCCATATATATTTATTGCCCTTTAAAAAAATTCATACACATTTCTTATCATAGCATCTCCTGGCAACAATTTCCAGACTTTTAACACTGTGTAAAGTACTTCCTTTTATCAGACATTAATCTTTCTGCATTTAGGCTGAACTGGTAAACTCAAAATCTAACATAGGAAAAGGGAATTAATAGCTTTCCTTACGAATATTGCCATGCCAAAAAATAGATTTATGTACCTCTACAGAACTGTCATTTTTTAATTTGCTTTCTAAGCTATCCTCCCTTCTGAAGGGGGGAGAATTGCTCAAGTTCCTACTAATAATTTTACTGTAAACCATAGGCCTCAGCTATGCTGGCTGAGGAATTCTGGGAGTTGAAGTCCATAAGTCTTAAAATTGCCAAGTTTGGGGACCCCTGCTCTATACAATATTTGATGAGTGATTACACTTCATTTTGAGTAAAGGCATTACTACAGTAATGTAAGAAAGATCTATCTTCAATTATGGTTCTAGTATATGAATGTCAAACAAGATGGGGTTTGTTCGTTTTTACAATAGCTAATGATATAATCCTTCCATAAATTGAATTGAATTTCCAGTGGCTACATAAATAACATCCATGAGGGTTTTTTGACAACAGTTCAGACAAGGTTCATTATAGCCTTCTTTGGGAAATTTGACTTCCCGATCTTTTCAGCCAGGTTTGACCATACAAGGTCTGCAAGATTGTGCCAGCTGTCATGAAGCTTAGTGCCATATTCTCCAAAGTGGTCAATATAGAACCTCAAGGATTGGCAGGACTCTGTTTTGTTGTTATTCATAGTAGCATTAGTTAAAGTAATAGTAAATTATTTTAATGTAAGTAATGTTTGAAGTCAGTGAACAATTTGAGATGTCATGAAGAGCTTGATGAGCTGAAGAATTTGGGGACCCCTGGTTAAGTGAAGCAAAAAAAAAAAAATTCTTTTGCTTTCCTTGTTGGGACACTCCTCTGTTCTCCATTTTCTGCATCAATATTTGCATGTGATTAAAACTAGTTTAGTATATCAAAATTTCCATTTTAATGAAGTCAGTATTTTACTTGTGATTTTTTTCTTTCTTCTTCACATGCATTTCTTCTAAGAAATACATTAACTGAGTAGGAAGAAAATCAATGTATCCTAAATGATAGTGCAGGGTGTACGTAATACAAAAATGTACCAGTTAAGATTTTTAGCAAGTATTTGTATCTTTTTTTAATAATAGGTCTTATTATTGATGCCTTTGGAGAACTGAGAGATCAGCAAGAGCAGGTCAAAGAAGACATGGAGGTAAGATCATGATTATAGTTTGTTTTCAGTAAATGAAAGAGAAAAACTTTGCACTAAATTGTCAAGACTACATTAATTCTTATATTGCTAATATTTTTATTTGATTCCTAGACCAAATGCTTTATTTGTGGAATTGGTAATGATTATTTTGATACAATTCCACATGGTTTTGAAATGCATACTTTACAAGAGCACAATCTGGCCAACTACTTGTAAGTAAATGCATGTACTACTTTATTAAAGTGTGTTTCTTGAGAAATGATTGTTAGCAATGTTAATAGGGTTGTCCAGGTTCATAGCACAATGCTAGGAATCCAGAAGTGAACTCTATGAGACTTACTCCCAATTCAGTGTGTTGCACTCCTTTACTCCCAGACTCAGGGCTCTGTCAGGTTATGGATCTTTAGCGAGCCCATATGGCAGCTACTGTACATTTCTTAGAATTCCCCTGTGGGAGATGGGGTAGAGTGAGGGATATACAATAGAGATTATCATAGGGGAACCAACCTGAAACTATAGCTAGGATCAGTTTCAGGATCACTAAAGAAAAACCAACCAACCAACCCAAACATAGTACTTCTACCTCATGTCTGCTCAGAACAAGCTTTGGCTATGGAGGGGATCCAGAACAGGAACGTTCTGTCAGTGTCTAGACCAGCATCTCTCAAATTTGGCAGCTTTAAGATGCATGGACTTCAACTCCCAGAATTCCCTAGACACTAATCAACATAAACAATTAACGCTCATTAACTTGATCAAAAAGGAAGCAAGAACAAGATACCACCAAAAACAATCATATATATTTTCATATTCTTTCTCCAGATTCTTTTTGATGTATCTGATTAATAAGGATGAAACTGAGCACACTGGGCAGGTAAAGCATTAATTGATTATGTAAATGAAAAGAAACAAACATTTCAGAAAACATTCATAAAATATAATCATTCTTTTAGAGATATACTAAATAATTAGCATTTATTTTTTCCTCCAAAAGCAAATTATTGATCATTTTAATCTATAAACATATGACATCCAAATGTTTAAATGGTTCTTCCATTGAAACTCATGTGCTGAATACTGCAGTTCTTCATGCCTTCTTCTGAATATTTAATTTAGTGTATTATAACATTTGTTCATGATCTGTTATTATAAGATTATTATTTTGTAAAAAAAAAAAAGTTTTGTAATCTCATACTAAAGCAAAGTTGGCTGCCAGCCTATATTTAAATGTGAAATGCATTTTATCTGAAGTTATCACTATTTAATTGCTTGTTTAGCAAATGAAAATAATGTTGTAATATCTTATATAACAAAAAATACATTCCCTAAGATTAGTAACTGAATTATAAATAGATCAGATAGATTTATCAACAGAAAAACTGCCTTGCTAATTTCAGGAATATATTCCCACTTGAAGTTTCTAATAGGGAAATGTCCATTCATTAATCTGTGAGAAAAATACGCCTTATGTATGAAAATTATTTCTTTTGTCAAATAAATCTTTTGAAAAACATTTGTTTTACATTTTTAGGAGTCATATGTGTGGAAAATGTACCAAGAAAGATGCTGGGATTTCTTCCCAGCTGGAGACTGCTTCCGTAAACAATATGAAGATCAACTTGGATAGAAATACCAAAAAAGAATCTACTATATTCAGTGTAAACACAAATAGAATTCTTACAAAAATAATGGCATAACAGAAATATTGCTTATGTTTGACCTCTAAGTAAATAAAGTAGTCCAGTTTTAAATTGATCTAGATTAGCTTTTTGTATGTTGCAAAAATAGGCTCTGAATTATTTGAATTTCAGTTTTATTTGTTTTTAAGTGGGGTAGAGCACAAAATAACGTTTAAACATTTCAGTTCAGTACTTTAATCCAGGAATTATTATTTGTTTTTTTATCAGTCCTTTGTAGAAAATAATATAGTTGAAAGGGCTATATTATCATTTTGCAGCTGAAGACTCTGAATGTCAGGTGATAATAACTTAATCATGGACTCATATGGTGAAAATATTTCAATCAGCCTTGTTTTCCCTGTGCCATTTCTTAGTGTAACAATACAAACCGAAAGATTTTAAGTATTCAGTGCTTAAAATGTTCAAGTATTTTATTGTCTCTAAAATCTAAGTGCCTTAAAGATCCAGATCTAGCTATGCAAAATACTTTTTTTTTAAATGTTAGTCTTTTAGATTGACATTTTTGTTATTTGACTGTGTTGCTTTCTGGTCTTTCTGTATGACATGAAATTTAGTAATATGGTACTTGTTACAAAACTGCTTACTACATGCAGCTGGTTTAAAAACCTGTCTTACAACTGAACAGAATTAAACTAATTAGTTGCAATGTTAATGCGTTTTTTCTTCAAATAACAATATGCACTGCAATAAAGAATTTGCAAAACCAAACTCAATGTCATATTTCATTGTGTTACTGGTGTCACACCAAGACACATTACATAATTGTACTTGCAAATGTAATTTATTTTATTTCACAGACTCTAAATAGGCTTTTATACATTTACAACTTCAAATTAATATTGTTAAATTTCTTTATGAAATCCAGAACACGGAAAATACACAAATAGCATTTTTAAGCTTCAGGTTCAGCCAGTCACCAGATTAAATATTTGTAAACATTTTTTACAATTAAGAATTGTCATAGTAAATTATTTTCCACATACTTGTATGATAAACAAAGTGTAGCTTTTAGGAGATCATAGTATCTAACCAATCCTCAAGTTCCTCTTCAGTAATATTTTTGGAGGCAGCTTCTGGCGGTTGAGATGTGGAGCAAATTTCTTCAGTTCTACCTGGTTCTAAGTGATCTGACAAAAGAAAAGAAAGATAAGTTAAATAATAACTCTTTTATAAATAAAGGGAAAAGAAAAATGATAAATATTGTGATTGTCAGCTATGAAACAGTGCTATTGTATTAGGAAAATACAAAAATACAACCCGAAGACCAAACATAATAGAATGGAATGGAATAAAATTAATAGAATAGAATAGAATAGAATAGCAATAGGAATAGGAATAGGAATAGAATAGAAGAGTTGGAAGGGACCTTGGAGGTCTTCTAGTCCAATTCCCTGCTTAGGCCGGAAACCTTACAACTTCTAGAGGCAAGTTGTTCCACCGATTAATTGTTCTAATTGTCAGGAAATTTCTTCTTGGTTCTAAGATGCTTCTCTCCTTGAGCAAATTCATCTTAAATGAAAAATTCAAAGCTGGAGAATGTTCGTTCTGCTGATCCTAGAAATGATTCTTTGAGGATTTTATTTATTTAAAAATTTAAAATGTCTGGGAGTTGAGGCTCTTTGGACAGTTTACAATAAAACATGAACACAAGAAAAATATGTATGCATATTCAGAAAGCTAGAGCAAACATACAGCTCTGACTTTTTTTCAACATTAGCAACAGCTAATACTATGTGTGAACTAGCCTTAGCAAGATATCATACTGTAGCTATTCGTGAAAGCGCCGACACAGCTATTGATAATTAGATGATATTCAACTTCAGTTTAGACACTTATAGTCTGCAGATTATCAAAACTTGCTTGGTGGAATATTACATCCGCAAAGCTGTGATGTTATTGCAACAGTTTTTGCAATCAGAGTTTTAAAAAGCTTGATTGTATCATTCCTGTCTAACTCTGTACGATGCTGAGAAAACCCAGTGATATAGCAACACAACTAAATCCAGGAACTTTATACTTGTATCCAGAAGACTTAAGGATGTATGGAAAGAGGTAAAACTGATGCTTTAAGAACTACCGGTACCTGCACTGTTTCCTGAGATTTCCTGAAGTGAATACTTCTGAATGTGAATCAATGATTTTCAGACCTAAATCTTATTTTGCAAAATAATGCAACAATCCATAACAATTCAATTTCTAACAACTGCTAGTGCTGCTTCATTATTCATGTTGTTTCATAAATGCAGTCTGATACTTCTTGAAACATATCCTGTGGCAGATCGTAAATTAAATCATATTTTTGACGATTCATTTTCTTTGAGTGAAAAGGTTAAGATTCTTTTATATATGAATTTGCAAGAAAATAATCAAGTGGATACTAATTCTATAATTACTTTTATAAATATTCAGTGTGCTCAACTGTACATAGGTTTCCAGAGACGGAATTTCAAAATTGGTCTGCGTTTGACTATACAGCAACAGAACAGTATAATTTCAGCTGTGGCATTATAAGCAGATCTATTTCTTATGTTCCAAATACAGTCTTTCTTACTGAAAATACAGTACTGTTACAGTCAATCAGTACCATGATTTAAAATTTTAGAATAGGTAAAAATCATCAGAAGCAAATTAGTGTCAAGTTATCTGGATTTGATTTTGCTTATCAGAACCAATTGTCTCATAATTTAGCATAATTGGTGGGATAATCCTAGCATCCAGGGCAGACTATAAGAGTGATTTCAATTTAATGCATGCTTTAGAAAACAAATTATGGAATAGTTTACAATTAATATATTTGGTTATACTTAACTTCCTCTGTAAGAGTTATCAAACTCATGGAATGATTAGGGTAGAGCTTATTCTGGTTGGGTAAAGGCTAAAAATTACAGGAAAAATAATAATCGATGTTAAACATTTTTCTCTGGAGTCTCTGGGGAATTCTGGAGATTGAAGTTCACACATCTAACATTGCTAAGGTTAAGAAACAGCACATTAGCCTCAGGCCCACTAAATAGTTAGGCAAGAATGGATGTAGTATACCTTACTTTAGTTTCATGTGCATTTATTAATATAAAATTATTTTGATCATAAATTAAATATTTTACCAATCTACACTATTTGCATTATGCTTGGTTGCACTCACCCAATAGTGCACATCTGGGAACTCTGGTTTACAAAATGACACTAAAATGTGTTGCATACACAGCCTATTCAGTAGGAAAGGCAACACTGTCCTCAAAGTATCTGTTTGGTTGCTGTAATTTGTTAAATGGACTTAATTTAAGTTTTGCCCTGATCTATAATGTTAGGTTAGGTTTTACCTTAGCCTATGATGTTTTTAGTTTTAAAAAAATAGGGATCAGAAAAACATTCCATGAACTGTCCCAAAGGTGCTTTTTTCAAGAGGCAACTTGGACTTTCTGATTTTTCTTTGAAGATGTTTCATTTCTCATCCAAGAAGGTTCTTCTTCAGCTCTGACTGGATGATGGGGAATTCCTCACCATTCAGTCAAAGCTGAAGAAGCTCTGACTGGAAAGAACTGTTAGGACAATCATGACATGAATGACTGATAATCTCCATAGACATTCCATGAACTGAAATTGCCAGACTTTTCTTTCATGAGGATTAGTATACTGTCTCATCATCAAGAAATTTTAAAGATCACCAGGTAAGCCAGAGTCGGCATCATGACCCACTTGATTGACATATACCATAAATCAATTTTTGATTCCTAGGGACCATGCAGATAGATCTTCTCCAAATATATATGTATAATTGAGAAATGTTGCCAAATCCCTTCCCTGATTTATATAAAATGTGGCATGCTTCAATATGTCTAAAATTTTTAGTTTTCCTGTAATTTTTATTCCATTCTACTGAAAAACAAGTTTCCATTTGTACTTTTCCTATAACCTGTGACGGGAGAATGAAAAGAAAACTTTCTTTTTCTTAATCTTATTCTAGATCTGGGTATCAATCCAGATTTAAAGTAATTCAGACCAGATCAGACTCTTGCAATAATTTCAGAATGATTTTAGAGTTATGTATGTATGCATGTATGTATGTATGTATGTTTTTTCATGCCCAAATGCCAATGTAAAACATTTAGAAATAATTTAAAATGTGTGACTTGACCAGAATATTTAGCTTAAAAATACAATGTGAAATTGGAAAAAAGTTTAACATATATATCATCCTAAACTCACTTTAAAAAAAAATAGTAAATATTTTCCACAAATTATATGTTTTATTTTTGTTGTGTGTTTCTTCTTTTACATGAAACTTTAAAATAGTTTCAGAATTTATTCTGGATAGTTTTGCCAGAATATGGCTAGATAAAAAGGTATAAAATTTGTAAGTCACATAAGAGCTTTATTCTCTCAACTATAAAGTGTGACCCGTTCTTTTTTTTTTTAACCATAGCTTGACTATCTATTTACCATTTGTTCCCACTTGTACATTGTATTCTCACAATTCCCACTATATATCCTAATTTTTTCCAATAACGTAATTTGATAATCTTCACTGTAGTGATTTTAAAACATGGAAGGCTTCAAAAATATGTTCCAGTGAAGAAGTATATTTAACTGTTCAGCTTAAACACACACAGGAGCCAACTCATAGTGGAACTTAAATCATGGTGGCATTAAAACCTTTCTGTTTTAAACATATTCAGTTTTCCACTCCTCTTATTAATGTAATCTATGTAATTTATACAATAGTACAACAATTACAACAGCAATGAACATTCCATTGTGAAATCTAAAAGGCCAGATTGCAAACAGTTCATCCTAGAGAAAGTCTAGCTATGTGGTTGCTAAGAGTTGAAGTCCAACTTGACAGCATTTAACAATACTAATAAGTACACAAGGAAACAACAAATTCTTATCTGGATAGAAGAACTAAAAAAATCTTTTCTAGAAGGAGAATTCAGTAAACAGGCACAACAGAGGATGGTTAGAGATAATTTCTGAGACAGTGATGGACTGTAGCAAAATGATTTGTGACAAAAATGCTAGGGGAAATATAACCTCAGCCAAGGAATATACTGTAACACCTGGTGCTCACTCATCACTAGAAAAAAGCAGCTGATCCACCTGATACACTAATGTGCTTCTAGTTAGTAGACACCTGCAGAGCCCTAACATGAATGTTTTATTGCTTCATTCTAAAGTACTACCTACTATTGAAGTCTAGCATGTGTTCTGAAATAGACTTGTTTCTGCCAAATCGCTATGGTCCATTTTCAGTAAAGGAAGATCTCCATCTACTTTTACAGTTAGGAAGAGAGCCAGTTTGGTCTAGTGATTAAGGCACCAGCAGAGAAAGTAGGAGACTGCGAGTTCTAATCCCACTTGACCTCCCTTATACCTCTTGGAGGACCCTGAATAGATTGAGAGTTGGAGTACCTAAGTGTAAAACCAATATGCTCAAGTGGAAGCTCTTAGAGGATAACAACACACTATGTGAATGTAGAGAGGCAGAGAGCCCAGCTCATCAGTTGTTATATTGGTTACTACCAGAAACATGTACCAATCATGACTTATTTTTGGCCAATGACAGAGCCAAGGAGGTGGCTTCATTCTGGCATTTAAAGTTTGATCTAGACATGGAAGAAGAACCTTAGACATGAAAACTGACTAGGTGACTTTGGGCCAGTTACTTTCCCTCAGCCCAACCCACCTCACAGGGTTGTTGTTGTGTGGAAGATAAGAGGAAGGAGTATTAAGTCGCTTTGCCACCTTGAGTTATTTATAAAAATAATATAAGTTCATCCTCTAGGCTTCTATATATAATTTCAATTCACTGCATGGGTAAGAAGAGGAATGATTTTTTTTAAATAGGTTAAGAAAGATGATCCATATGAGACACAAGATACACCATGACTGATATAACAATATATTTAATCCAGCCAGGTGTAATGGCATACATATTTGTGGAAGGAAAAATATTTCACTGATTGCATTGAAAATATCATCATCATCATCATCATTGTGGTAATATATTTTATTAATCATTTTATCATTTTCTGTAAGGCCTTTGTATAACTAGCAGTAAGTCTAGGAGATGTGGGCATTCTTGGTGGGGGTAGGAGTATCTTTGCTCAGAGTGCCTCATTCTGTTTTGATTCTGCCAGTTTAGAAGGAATAGGAAAATGGGTGAAAGTTCAAGGTACAAGATACACAGTTGTGCTTTCTCATGGGACCTTCCAAACTTTCCCATGAGACTTTCCGTGGCTGTATGATCTCATCCTAGCAAGGTAACATCTGGGACTTTCCAAGATTGTGTGTTCTCATGCTGGTGAAGTAATCTCCTGTTGAGGTCATTGTTTTCTGAATATGCATACTGTATATTTTGCTTGTGTTTTTTCTCAATAAATACTGCTACCTGAGTTCTCTCAGGGTTGGCATTTTTCTCAGAGACAGTTCCCTGTGTCTCATTTCAATGTCAAACCACCATAATCATCATCATCATCATCATCATCATCATCATCATCATCATCATCATCATCATATCTTGGAGCAATACCTAAAGGGCTACCTTGCTATTTGGAAATTCTGAATTTATCAGACTTGAATACCTGATTCTACAAAAAAACACCCTACTTGGAACAGCTTATATCCTCTGATGCTACCTTAACAGTTCCTAGGTCCTTGGTTAGGGTTAGGGTTAGAATAATAATAATAATAATAATAATAATAATAATAATAATAATAATAATAAT